TATTTTTATTGCAGTATCTATAGTCCTGCTGCAATATGTATTTTGTATACCCATCGTATATCAAATCGTTAAGGTATTTATTTAAAAATTATATTTTGACTGGGCTGCATAAAATATGCTTGCACCCCCGTTAATAAATAAATAGTAGCGGGCTCGTAGCACTACATGAAATATCATAATCGGCTCTGTATGCTATGTGGATGTGTATAATATATTCGTTTACGTTAAAATATTTAAAAATATTTCATTATATTTGAATATCACCATTGTAGCCATTACACAAATTTAATGAGTAATAATAGAGGTCTAGAGTTATATTCTACTGAAGAAATGTGCACCATTATCATCAAATAACGATGTCGTAGTCAAATTAAATTGCATATTATAATATGTATAACGGTCATACGTTAGCATGTCACACCGTGTTGTTCGTTATCGTTTTATTCATTATGAAATGACTTATTTTTTCCCATTCCACGTTGTAGACGGCGTGCGAAACAGCAATAAGTAAGTGCCTATGTATACCATATGGCTATATACAATTATAAAATATAAATTCAATTGCACAATGTGAAAAGTTCGATCCGGATATATTATAAGCATGTAGTTTCCACATTCTAGATATTCATATACGTTTATATATACCTACACTATACAGGGTGTCACGTGTATGTCATCGTACATACCCGTTTGTATGCAATATAATATATTATTATTTATTATTTGTATGTACTTTAATACTTATATACAGTACACCTGCCCTAAACTTACCCAATTACATTTAAATACTATTTTTATAGTATATTATGAGTACCTACCACCTATTATTTAATATTTGAATATAAAAAGTTATTTTTGTTAGACGATTTTTTCTATTGCAATAACATGATATGTGCAGTAATCGTTCAATTTTATCAAGTCCTGAAAAAGTGAAGAGATAACGAATGGAAAATATAATTAATAATCATAAACAATGACATTAATGAATTAATTTTCGATAGTAGGTACTAGGTAGTATATAAAAACCTGTTACAGGTCGATTTCAATAAAATACAAACATCGAGTTATTCACAAAACTTTTGAGTTAAACACTAATTTTTACATTTTTGAAATAGACAACTCTATGGACCGGAGAAAAATGTGGTGGTATAGACATTTTAGAGTTAATAAAGTTTTGAGTTATCCACGTTGGCACGTTTGACTGTATAATATCTCCCATAAAGTATAATAATGATGAAAGAAACGTGAAAGAATACAATTATTTATCGTAAGAAAATGTCATCGACAAACGTAATGTACGTATTAACATGCAAAATGTAATGCCTTACGACGAGTGATTATAATATTACAATGCACGATGTGGACAGATGAGCGTTTGCCTATTGCCGTACTCTTACGGTTACACTTAACATGACCGAATAGTTAATTGCAAGTTGCAACTGTAGCTACTACATGCCTCCACATGTCTATAGAGCTGTACTTTTTATAGAATATTTGTTGTGCCAAAATATAAGTTTTTAAAATTAGATAAATTAGTTTTATTTTGTCTTATAAAGGTATGTAACAATTAACTAATTTTACCATAGTTTATATCAAAAAATAGATGGACGTCATGTGAGAAATAATAAACTGAAAACATGAATTTTCTTATACCAATTTTTCAAAATTAAAATCATAATTTTGCATGTACACGTGTACTCTTGTGAATTATTTTATTGTTTGTTTTAAATATATATATAGGGCGATTCAAGTATGCTCAGTGCTAACCCTCCCCTTTTATCTTCAATACTTATTCAGTGGAGTTATTCAAAATCTGATTTTTGGAATTTTCAATTATAATTCTTATATACCATATTTTAAAATTTCCTATAGCAGGTATTACCTACTAGGAGCGTCCTATGGAGACACAAACTTCTGTATTTAAAATAAGGCCCCCCCACCAATTTTCTTCTATAAATTATTTAGTGGTTAATTTGAAAATATTGTATTTAATTAAATTGAAAAATTTCAAACATCAGAATTTGAATAAATTCATTATTAAATGAAAAATCGGGAGGGAGAATGGTTGGCAAGTCATCCTGTAAATAAATTTATTATTTGTGATACATGTGTGTAAAAATAATTTAACTTTAGTCAAATTATATTAATGGTCTAATATTAATTTATTTTTACTAACAGAATGATAGAAAACGTATTACTATTTATTCATGATCAACGAATGTTTTTTTAAAAATATATATTTCTGAAAAAACGTGTTTTATCATTATTTCTGTCATTTTATTTATACATGTACAATGGACATTGGGCATGTACCTACTGAGTTGATAAAGAAACAATTTTTTAAGAGGCGTAATATATTTTCAAGGGCTATTATTCGGCGTGATTCGGCCCTGTATAGCAATTATCTATCATCACCATTATTTAAAATAATAATATATAGCCGTATAGGTGCGTATATGACATGTATGGCCTGGGTATAGGACATTTAGGGACTTATTGTTTTTTGTAGCGGAAACATAGCAAAATCGCGAAAGTCATGAACATATTGTATAAATCGAGCTTCACTGGCGATGTCTACTTATAGTACTCGAATAGCGGCAGCGGCGGGAAAACGTACTTCGACAATAATATTATAGTTTTGTATCATTGCACGTGCTCATTTCGATACTGCTCTATCTTACGGTCGTATATTACGATCACGTTTTAATCGCAGTATATATGCAACAAAATATTTTTAGGTACCTACCTAAAGTAGGCTGCGTATAAGTGTGTAGCTAGTGTCGTAGAGCGCGTCTAAAATATTGTCGTTACCTATATTATTATTTATTATGAATTATAATTGTTTAAACGTCGTACAAACTGTAGTAGAAACTGATTTTATATTAGGCCAATTTAGTAAAACAGTATACCCGTATGTGTTGTCAGTTTGCTCTGTCTTACAAACTTATACAATATCAAATGTACGTTCATCAGAGCCAGTTAGCCTTTAGTATTTGAACGATTAATCTATAATCGAACTCGAAATTATAACTATCAGAGATAACGGCAATCGCGAATCCAAACTTTAATAAAGGCGCTGCATTAACAAATTTGAGGCAACAACAGAGTGCTATCCTTTATAACTATATAATATATATATAGGTACCTACTTAATACATAACATAACAAAATACGAAATAATACCTAACCTGTGACAAGAAGAGCTAATGACGAAAAAAAGGGGGATTATATTTAAAAATAGGCTAATCTTTCTAAAATAAATTTTATAAATTATGGGTTTTTGGAGAAAAATGAAAAGTATTATTTTAGTTTTAAAAATAGGCGCCACCTACGATAAATGTTGTGTATAACATAATACGAGAGAACAGTTAGTATTACAACAGCTGTCTATAGCGATAAGACATCGTTTCTTTTGTCACACAATGAGCAAGCGACCGCTATCGAAGAAAAACTACCAACTATGTAGAAAAAGAAAAACCATTGTGATCGTATACAAAACCGATTCTATAATCATTATTATACAATATAGTTGCTAAGTTGCGATGTCTATATAATTATTGTATATTATAATACGCTGATGAAATAATATCCCGTAAAATGCATTAAATAGTATCGATGACATTTGACACACAAAGTATACTTTATCTGGCCAGCGAACACATTTATTATTATAAAATAATAATAATATAAATTATAGACCATTAATTTTAATTATTTTGCTGGCCGGCCCACGCATGTATAGTATATTTATCGAATGAAAACTGTCTACATGTTTCACGAGAATTGAAGAATGTACTCACTACTGCGATTCCTATAAAATATACTATAGTCAAAATATTATACATAATCTGTTTGGAATAACCCCTTCTGCTAGAGAGATTTGATTTTTTTAAGCAATGACTTAAGAAATTCAACTACCTGTTCTCACATTACTGAATAGATTGTCGTGAGACATTTTGTTTTTAATTTTTTATTATTGATTCGTTTTAAGGTTTTGAGTTGATGCTATTTGTCAATGGTCTTATAAAAAAATTTTTTAGAAATGTTTTTAAAAAAAAGTTTTAAATTTTGAAAAGTTATATCCTATAGGCAATTAAAATGTCAAAATATTTAATATTATCTGTAAAGAAAGGCAAGTTCAATAATGGTTGTAAATTGTAAGACGTAGACAAATATAACACACGTAATGCCCTCTTAATTTATTTTTACAATTTACAGTTCATAAAATGTAGTACGCATTTTTTTGTAGAACTCTAAACCAGAGGTTCTTAAATTATGGTACGCGTACCACTAGTGGTACGTGGGAGACTACATGTCGATACGCGAAAGGCCACAAAGTGATAGAACGGAGAGTTGATAAATGAATATTTTAAATTGTGTTTCAACTTGATCATATAGGAATAAACATAACTACATAAGTGGTACACGATAGATTAATAATATACATGAGTGGTACGCGAAAAAAAAAGTTTGAGATCTGCTGCTCTAAACTATAGAAGTGATAGTGTAATTCAGAGTAGTCCAACCCCTCAGCCTGCAAGCCGAATGCAGTCTTCAAAGTCTTTCATTTCGGCCCTCCTTGGAAAACATACATGTAATAATTTTTATTGGTATGAGTGTGAAAAATTAAAATAGAACTAAGGTGGAGGGAGATGGCGCAGTGGCAGTACTTATCTATAGGTACGTAATACGTATTCTATAATCGGATAACTTGTGTACCTATTATGTTATTATATATTACAATATGTTTGTTATATTTTTTCTTTTGGTAGCCCTCTATTGTTTATAAATGTGTAAATTGGACTACAAATTACAAAAGGTTGGACCACTCTAGTGTAATTTATTATTTATGAAACAATTTTTACATTCTGAATGTAGTAAAATATTAGCGTGATGGTTTTTTCTACAGAGAAATGTTTTGTTTTTCACTCTTTTCTTCGGCTTACACTTTCCGGGAAGTAAAAAAGGGTTCCAAACAATAGAAACGACACTCACCTCACCCTATGCATCCGGCCGATATCGTGGCCAGTATCGCAAGCGTGGCAGTCATGACTTGCGTCGCCGAAGACACGGTCTTGGTGTTGTAGTCAGTGCTGCTTCTGCTGGAGTCTATGTTGGCGCTAGTCTGCGGAGCCTCGACGAACTTGTCCTCGGCCGTAACCCTGGACCCGTACTTCTGCAGGAACTCCAAGATTATGCCATTGGTCCAGCCAAAGCCCAACTGCACCTCGTATTCGCCTCCACTGCCGTGACCTCCGGGTACGGTCGCATCGTACTGTCAAACACGTGACTTATGAGTATACCAATAATTGACGAAAATATAATTCATAGAAGGGGCATATACAAGTCTGCAGACACAGTGGTGTGTATATTGAAATAAAAATTACTGCATCTACGTCTCACGTGACACCCATCACCCACTACCTATACCGTTCTCAATAATCGACTTCCAGACTAATTTATGTGCTCGTATAGACATTTTTATAGCTACTCTAAAGATTCGTTTTTAATAATTATAACCTTATGATGATTATGATTGTGGTGAATGATAATGATCAATTCGTAATCAAAAAGGTTTTAATAAAATGTACAGTTAAATAATGAAAATAATAATTTTTACGCTGCATATAGTATCCCGTCAACCAGATAAATTGTTTTATTCCCATCAAACAACCAACCACGACTTACTTTTTCATACATGGCGTTGGTCTCGTTGTACGCTTTGTAGTTGGACCTCATCCATCGTTCAGCTATCTCGAATGCCAAGTCTTGGGCCCAGTTATCACCTGAGCTGTCCAGTGACATGACCATTATGTACTGGAGTGGGGGCCACGCATTCGGGTAGTCCCATTGTTCACCGGAGTGCTCCAGGGTAGTTGGTATGCCCCCCAGGTTGTTCATTATTTGTGTCTTTTCCAAATACTTAAGCGTCCGGGATACAAAGTCATCGGTCTTCTTTGGGTCATAACAGCCAGTCCATAGCGGTGATATGTTGGTTGGGTAAAAGTAATCACGCTTGATTTCGTTTAGCATGTCATAGTCCAGCCACGCTCCTACTTCCTCGTGCCACAACACCGCCGTTACTGCTTCTATCCATTTGTTGGCGATGTTTTCGTACTTCAATGCCTTGTCAGACACATTCAGCTCCCGGTAGAAATCACTCAGTATCTTAGCATTCCAATACACCAAAGCGTTCAAATCCACCGGAATGATGGACTGTGTTTTCAGGTTAGTCAGGTTTCCTGCAATCATAAAATGACATTAGTTACTGCACGCAACGTTTTTACGCGCACCCTGGCCTACAACAATATTATCCGATAAAGTGCAGCTTTTACTCACTTCCCTAACCCACAGATGTTATTTCGATAAACACGTCTATTAAATTTACGTATTTAATACATTTTTTCACCATCGCATTTAAATATTACTTTTCTTTTTGACGTGCTAAGTAAATAAAAATAATAGGTAATACAATTAAATCATTTAAAATCGATCTGGGGATTATAAAAATCAAAAATACTCTCGAATTGTATTTTATTCATTGAAACGTCGTAGGTACTATCAAAAGCGGGATCGAGTTATAATTAAGAGTTTGATAGTTGAAAATAAAATAAAAACAATCATGTTTCACATTAATTGTCGAAGACGTGTTTCTAACAATAACAAAAAAAAAAAAAAATAGAAAGTGTATTTACGTTTATTGATCAGTGGATCTATGCCAAAAATAAAATAATTAACGTGATGATACATTTTAGGTACATATTATTTATATAGTATAATGTGGATACGTATGGTGATGTATTATCGCTTTGAAAGTTCTTTAGTCTCATTCACGATACATTAATATATGTAGCATGCAACATGCGCAGTAGTGATTTAGAAGCATTTACTTTACAGACCCAACTCAAATTCGTATAAAAACATCAGACCTAATTTAATAGTTAATGAAACTATGTTGAAATCGTCTATAAGAAGAGAAAAATAATAGACATCGTTTAAAGTAAACTGGTAATTATTATAAAAATGACCTATAACATTCTCACATTATAGACTTAAATGTTTAAGTAATTACCTATGGTGGTTCTTAATTTTATTGATATATTAATAAAATAATAACTCAAATGTAGTTCTGTACTAAGCAATACTTTCAATTTTGTTATAACTTAAAACAGTCCTAAAAGAATACAATTTTAGTATAGTAGCAACACAAATAAATTAGATGTAATAAACGTAGGTACATACTACATACTTACGTTAATAAAAATAATGCAACCGCTAACCGTGAACCTAATCCTGATTTAATTGTTGACTAACAATACAAGCTTTAATTGAACATGTATACAGAGAAGTACATTTTCAAGGTCATGACAATTTATAAACTTTATTTGCTTTACTTTTTTATGATGCACACATTTTTAAAAATTATTTTATATACATTTTTATTTTAACTTTATTTGTTATCTTCATAAATTTACATAATTCACTATTATTTTCTGGATACTCCAAATAATTTAGAAATACAACTAAATACCTACATGTAAAGTATGTTGTGATAATAATTAATATCTTTTCTTTATAAACATTATAGCTCATGTATGTTCATATTGTCTTTAATTGAATTGTTAATATTTTACTTCAAATATTTAAATATTAATTAAATGCATTAGGTGAGGTACCTACCTATACATTTGTTATCTATAAATAAAGTCGCAACAAGTAATTAAAATCAATACGCAGAATCTAAAATTGAATGATATTTGACTTTATGATCATTTCTATTATTTATTAAATGGGTGATATTTTAATATTTTTTGGAATAATATAAACTAAATTCTTGAAGAACTTCCTAAGAACATTTTTATTTATATTTCCTTCCCATAATACGTTTTGACAAAATAAGAAAAGCATTAACACATCAAGCGTTAAATGAAATATTATCTTCTTCGTGAAGAGTAAATATTTTATTTCAAAATTCATAATGTTCAAGGTTTTTTATAACATAATGTAGGTTTTATATAATTTATACCATAAGCGATAATACATTAATACAGAGTACCAAAAGTATAATAAAAAATTGGTTTTAGATTTATATTTACAATGCTCGATTTTTCCAATCGTTAAACCTAATTAATAAGTATAAATAGGTGTGTATATATCTATAAAAAGTATTGAAATTTTAAATGTAACATGTAAATATTTTTAATTTATAATATTTGGATTGTAGGTATTCCAGTTGAAATAGTAATATTTTAGTAGAATCAACTATATTTAAAATAACATGCAAACTTAAGGCTTTTTATGTTAACTGGATTGGATCAAATGTATGATGTAATAATAATTAAGTAGGTAATATGTTTAAGAATCTACGAAGGCTCAAGTGGAATTTGTAATTCTACGAAAAAAATAACGAAATAATATTATGATCGTATAAGTATTTAACACATTTTATGGTTTTTTTCACAAGTTATTCATTTAAATTACATTGTGTGGACAAAATATATTTGTCTGAGTAATAAATTACTAGTGATTTCAGGAATTTTCGGAATTTTCGGAAGTTAATTTGTTTATTAAGTGTTATTATGACCATACCAGGTAAGTCAAAACAAAACAAAACAAAACAAAACTGGGATTTTTTCAAATTTAAACCATTATTTAATAATATAGCGTTTATTTTTCAAACAATAGATTTTATGCTACAGGCAAATAATAATGTATTGTTATTTACTACATTTCCGGCACACGCGTAGTATCTACACGTTGCATAGGTTCTATAGGGCAAAATATGAACAAAAATTTCCTATAGAAACCTATATTATATATTATAACAGAAAAATTAAAACTATACTACATTTAATAGTAATAAATTAATAAAAGTAAAAGTCCCTAGATATGAATCTTAATGGAGACCACAGGTCATGGTTGACCAAGTCATGATTTTATAAAAAAAATTTACTTTGAAAAAATATTAATGATGGTAAATAAATAATCAGAAAAGAAAAACCATATACATAATATAACCTTGAGCTACACAAGAAAAAATATCCGGTAGTGCTAAGTACAGATAGTCAGTACACTGAGCCCAAAACTATTGTTTTAAAATAAACCTATGACTTGGCGCTTTTATTTCATTGTCTTCAATGTAAATTTCGTTGTTACTATTACAGTAGGTAACCGAGGTAATTTTTTCTACCCATATTTAAGCAAACACGGAAAGCACAATACACTACGAACGGTTTAAGCGTGGTTGGAAGTATAAATAATCACGTAAATTATAAATAAAAAACTAGCCAGTTATTTACCTTTATTTGTTCCATTTAGTATAAACCATCTACTGGAAAAATCCCACCCAGATTCCGCAGCGGCCTTTAGCTCAGAATAGTAGTTTTCTTTATCGTTATCGGTCTTCAGTGTTTGTGCGCTCATGATATCTTCCCTGTAAAAATACAAAATATCATTTAATTATAAATATTTGAAATGTAGGTACGATAGGTAATAACTCCAAGTAAATATTTGTAATTTGCATACAAATAGGTGATACAAAGATGCTCACATAGCTACAGAAAAAACGAAATAGATTTGAAATTATAAAAATCAAGAATTATTAATTCCTTCTTGCTAGAGTTCAATCAGAAATAATCTGTAGCCTCAATTAATATTTAAAAAAAACATAAATTCAATTTGAGTTAACTTTTATGAAATTCAGAACTAAATTTACCTGTATGATTCAGGCCTAGGACCAGTTGACGAATCCTTATATCTGGCCAATGTGTATACTTTTCCATCTTTTTCTATGTCTACTGTATGATTTAACATCCAAAAGCTGAATTCTTTTTCCAGTATATCTACATTTTCTTTAAGGAAAATCGTGTCATTTGTAGCCTCGATGTAACTTTTCATCATTGGTACCAGCATGGGGGGCTGAGATCGCATGGCATAATACACTCTACCCCCGTTTGGAATATGACCATAGGTGTTAATTATCGATAAAAAGTTGCTGAGCATTCCTTTTACGGTAGTATACATCTCAGATAGTAGCAGACCTCTAATAATCCAATAAGAATCCCAATAGTAAAATTCACGGAATCGGCCACCGGGTACAATTACCGGATACGGAACATAGATAATTGAGTAATGGTCAGGATGTAAACGTACGTCATCTTTGATTTTTTTACCAAGAAGTTTCCATAGCAAGTGTAAGCCTCTAGCCCATTCTTGGAAATTTGGGTCCTTAATATCACCAAGAAATTTTGGCTCTGGCTTCCAATCGGAGGGATCCCAAATTTCGAATTCACTGCCTTCCTTTTCGAATGTGTCGTTGAGGAAAATCTCCAGTTCTATTTTTGATGGCCTTTGTCCCGTTCTTTTCATCATATCCAAGAATATGTTCATAGTCTCATTAGGTGAATATTTCATTTTCATGTCAACAAACGTTTTCGAATCTGGGAATATGCTAGACATTTGAATCGCATGCAGCAATGGTCCATGACAGTAAATATTACTGAAATAAAAACGTATTAAATTTACACAAAATGAAATTAAAATATTCTTAATTAATCGTCTACTATTCATCGTATCTTAATAATATTTACTCTAGCTAAATTTAAATGATCTTTTTCAAACTACTAAGTACTTTTATTCCATAAGAAAAACGTGTAATTTTTGAAGATAATCCTTCTTGAAGTTTGATTTTAAAGTTAGGTAGGTACCAATCATTAACTATAAATACAAGGACAAGCGTCATTGAAAGTATCGTCACACTTTTCATTTTAGTAGATGGTTTTGACAAGTGAGAAATGCGTGAAAATGTAAACAACGTCCTTGCATAAAAGTAAGAGGAATTATTAAGAATAAACTGAAACCACTTAAAATAAGGTACACTTTATCAAAAAATATAATATATTTGATAAACAAAAATGGTTAAAATACTATTTGATTAAACAAAAAAGGAAGTCAATAAATTATAATTTGTTCTGTACTATCGAGTAAATAAATATAAGAGTTTTCGACCGACCTAACATTAATAATTGTTGTACATTTATTTCGTTGTAGGAATAATATTTTTCTTATCATGATTTAAGTTAATGAGTTAAGAACTCTGAATACTTTTCTTTTATACGTTTTTCAAATTAATACACAGTATTTTAATTTTAATTCATTCTGAAATCTTTTAGTTAAAAACAATGTTATACTATGTGATTTTTTAAACACAATACATTTAGAACTTATTTCGAGTTTTGAACTAGGTACGAGGTATCTGTAGTCTAATTATTTTTAATACATTTAAGCTTATTACTTTTCAATAAGTAGGTACTTGATATTTTAAAATGTGAAATAATGGATTCAAAATAATAGTGGGATATATTTATAATAATATAATAACTATTATTCACCATTTCATACATTTTGTCTTTACATTGATGCTTTGAAAGTTTGAGTAAAGTGTAAATATAGTTCAAAACTCGACATAATTCCAGTAAAATATTCTGTATCATAATTTAGAATAAAATAAGATATAATAAGTAAAAACTAAAAGTTATGAGAAAGTATTTTTTTTTTTTGTCTACATGGCTACACATTTATAGGTAATGAGTAGTAATTTTTATTATACCAACGAAATAACGTGTACTATAAAATCCATACATTATTTGGTAGAGTACCTGTTTGGGGGAAAAAAAATCCTATCATTTTATTTATGTAGTTAAAATACAAACGATTAAAGAAATAAAGTCTACGCTCACTTTTATGTGAAAAAGCTCGACAATTGTTATCATTATTATGATTGGTACCACCATATAATCGAAATTAATGTTTAATAAGACGTACATAAATATTTCATTACACAATATTTAAATGGATAATCCATACATAAATCATATAATCAGATCTGTAATTCAGTTTTAAATAATAGTTTACTAATTCAGATTAGCTTTAATAAAATAAAATAAATAGCATGCAAAATAATATATATTTACAATCTTGATCAAATCTTTTAAGTGATTTATTTTTTAAATATTTATAATGAAAGCGCATATACATAAAAACAACATAATAAAGTTTGTTACATCATTTAGAGTAAAAGGCAATATTGTAGTGACTGGAGGGGCAAATTAGCAACGCCTTGCCAAAAAACTATATTATCAGATATGTCCATTCAATTTCAATCAAAATATCTATGCCATGAGAAAATTTTTGGATCGGACTAAATTAACGTAAGAATGTATTAACAGTTTTCATAACTACGTACTTAATGATTTATATCATTAAGAAAAATTAGAAGGGTATGTACTCGTAGTACGCTGCAATATGAAAAAATACGAATGGCCAGAATAAGTAAGTACAATAAAGTAACGCCGAAAATAAACTATCAAGAATTATTTAACTGAATACAAATTAAAGAATGTTATTTTTATTAAAACTATAGAGGGCTAGGTTAATAGTTGAAAAATTACAATAATTTTCATGTGTATAATTATAATAATGAAATAATAAATTCGAACATCGTTAGGATTCATTATCATGAAAAACGATTGTGAACTATAAAGTATAAAGATAGATAAAAATTACTTTATTCTAAAAATAATATTTTAGTTGAATATCTATGCATAACTGAAAAAAATGTATTCATATCAAACAGCGTAACAATTTTTTTCTTTTCTTAATGATCGTACTTTTGCTCACAATACTAAGTGAGTGATATATGATTTATTCCAATTTTTCAGACAAATAAGAAAGCTAATGATCAATTAGACCATAGATTTATATAATAATTATTCTATTGTCTTGGTCATAATTATGAGTTTTCAATAACCACGAAAATATAACCCATAATTTATTTTTCTACGTACATCTCCTAGTCATGGGTCTGGAGTGACCTTGACACGTCACTACTACTCTTATAATACCTACTCATATAAATGGAATGGTCGATCTCGGTATATTGTACAATTTTGATATCAACTGCCAAAAATTATAAGAAATTAGTTTTGGAAATAATATGACCTTAATTTAGGTACCTAACGATAACTGTACTACTTATAAGTATAATACAAAATGCACTCTCCAAATTAGCACCTATACATTATGTACTTCTCATCTCGTACCGCTCAGTCCGCTGAATATACTTTAGAGACACTCTTGTGATGTTATAATATACACGCTGTTAATAAAATAATAATAATAATAATAATAATAAGAAAAAACTAACAACAACAAATTGGCATTAGGTGTGCTATTACATAATAATATGGTTCGTCTGCTACACGGGTTATGAGTAAAGGATGTACATAAGGTCACGTCACGCTCGCGATGGGGATGGTAATGACGTAATAATAATATATACTATTGAAATATAAACGACTATGAGTGTGCACGAGTAACCAATAAAGCAATTTGTGCAGTTTAAGCATTGTAACGATTTTATAATTTACCACATAGCAACTTTGTATATTGTATGCGTACATATTATGTTATGTGTTATATTATAATAGTAGGCACTCGCGATGCGTTTACTCCATAGCATACGGTGGTGACTCTTTCTACGAAATGGATTGTTTATATTATATAATTATATGTATTGTACCGATTCGGAAATGTTTTAAAATGATTTTTCTATTTCTCATTATATTTCCACTAGTGCATAGACACGATAACTGAAGAACAGGTAAAAAAAACGGATTTGATTGACATTGACACCGATTAGAACACAGTTGCCCATCGACGACGGCGGCGGCGGCGAGCAGCCATATGTAACTCTGGTCTCTCTGTCTTTCTCTATCATATGCACACACACACACAGAGTAATTGACGGGTTGCCAATATACAGCTTACACAGCTATTTCGTTAGACACTACCTATGTCGCGCGCGCCACAAGACGAAACACATACAGACACAGGTACGAATAATAAATAACAGTACATAGGAATATAATGTGTACACACGCAATTATTATTATGTTTTTTTTTTCATGACCTACATCCTAGGTCCGTGAAACGAAAATAACGTAAAATAACAAACGCCAGAGATTGAAATATATATATAGGTATATTACGTACTATTATATTCTGGAAGAACGCACCGTGAATCCAATGACAATTATTGTTATTATAACATAGGCGTGTTGATGATAATAACAATAATAATATGTAATGTGTACCCATGTAAATATACTAGGTATATCGAACGATAACCGTGTGCAGATTTTAAAACGATTCGCTGGCACGCGCAGGTAAATAATGTACATAATAATATAGCCATAGGTAGTGAAGTAGAATTTGTATTCTACGATTAATAGTACCTACCAAATGGCAAATAATAAGCCAGTCATAAACGTAACTTATTATGATCGCTGGAACTAATAGACCAAACACTAATCAATGGAACCGATTTCGAATAATTTGACCTACACAATTCACTTTCAAATAGTACTACGCTGTGCGACTATTCACCGGCATTAAATTGAATTTAGAGAATGATGGAGAGAGAGAAAAGGTAAAAATTATTATTATCCATAAAGCCATATCATTGTATTGATAAATACCACACGTATGGATGACTGGCGTAATAATAAATATTTTTGTTTCAGCTTACGCACTTCTACTCTGATATATGCTTTCTTATTTTGTCGCACGTCCAAGACCCCGAAATTCGAGAATTCTTACATGGAAACTGCAGAACATAAACTGTGAAGTAAATGGTCATTTTTTATTACTATTTTTTATTGTTGCTATTTAGTATTTTCTGATAATAATCAAGAGCACATTATTGTTATCGTATAAATAGGGACCACAAATGAACAGGATTTTGTGGATTTTTTTCAATGTAGCGGGGCGCGGAAAGTTTGAATGACATAAGATTGAGAGAAAAATCTACCGACACTAGGGTAAATCTTTGTAATCTTGCCAAATTATTTGTGAACACGAGTATAGGAAAAAAAGCAAAACGGTATAAATAGATGGGACCTGAAATCACGCCACAAAAACTGAACAATCTCGTAAAAGAAATAAGTAATTTTATCACAAAATTCTTCAATAAAACTTTTAAAAATTTAGTTTGCTTGTTACGATTAACATTCGATGAATCGATAAGTATCACTCAACAAGTACACCACTTACCCAGTGGGATCAAACTTTTAAAAATCCACCAAAACTATGTGCAAGCTTCGAGTGCTTCGACCTCATCTAACCAATTTTTTTATAAATAATTTTTATCAAGCACTATTAGCATAAGTTTGAGGTATGTCGATATGGGAGATGACTAAAATCATGATGAATTTTTTACCGATATTGTTAAAATAAGATAACAGAATATTGTTTTTCATTATTTATGCGTTATCTGGTAAGATTTTGGTGGAAATAGTACAATTTATGTTATGTAAGGCTTGGAGATAATTATAATACATAATATGAACAGAACTAATAATGTAAAAATAGTTCACATTATAACTAAAGAAATAAAAACTTGGTTCACACAATAATGGCAAAAATAGAAACTACGAAACAAAACACGGAGTAATAATTACTCTACATTTTACTGACATGAGATTAATTTTAGAGAATATATTGTCAAGCTTTGTACATTATGTGGTGACGTCAGGAGTAAAACGAGTTCTACGTACGTGATTTGACAACAAGGAAAGCAGATTAAGTACGAATTCATCTTAAAATAGGTATATTATAGGTACCACCAAAAAGTATTGGGAATTCTTTGAAGAAAAAAAATTTAATTATCTTCTCAAAACCGTGCATAAGTATAAAAAAACGACCACATTGTATTGAATTCTCTGAGAACGTGTTTGCAATACGTTTATGTATAATTTTCGAGTTGAAATTTCAATGGTTATTACACTAAAAAGTAGCGACGGCCAAGATAAATATCATACACAAACCTTGAATTAATATTTTAATTCAATGCGGGAGCTGGTTCGTATTAAACAAGTTATAATGTATCAGCAGAGATCGCCTAGAAAGGAGAAGTAAAAAAAAAAAACAACTTAAAGTTACCAGACAGGGCGTCCCGGGATGTCCCGGAGGGGGTAAACAGGCCAACTCGTTGGTTATAGGTATATAAAATTTATTCGGTGAGATTGGCTGGAATTTTTTTTTTGTCGACCACTATTACTAATATAATATTGTTTTTATCCTAATCAAAAAAAAAAAAAGAAAGAAATTATGCAATATGGCGTTTACCTGTTATATACCTAGGTATAAAAATATAATCTTAAAATAAAAATAAGCAATGATACGCCAGATATCAAAGAATTACGAAGAAAATGTATGATATGCAAATCAGACTATATTGACAGATATAGGTATACAGACATTACGTAGAAAATAAATTGAGATTGATAAAATGGAAATTGTTGCATATTTTTATAATTCTTCTAAATTTACGAATTTTAGTTACGATTGTTATTTGCGACTAGTATACCTATATGTCCTACAATATGTTGTTTTACTTTCATAAATTTTGTAACCGTAAAAAACTCGTGTGGATATTTTTGAATCTAGGATGATTATTTTAGGATTTGGAACTTTTAACTACAAAATTATTTTTATCAATCTATAACGGTAGTGAAATAAAGGAGCTCAAACGAGGTATGGAATTTTAAATAACTCGCGCAAGGAAGGCCAATCAACATTATTATCCTCCAAATTTATATACGGCGAGTTTTTTTTTTAGAATATTACAGTCAAGCTAAGAGATAATTTGGTATCATATTTTTTTAGTTTAATATGTTAGCAATTTACACTATATGTACACTAATTAAAGCAATAATATTAAAATCATCTCTACCAAATGGATGCAGTTAATGGGAGATAATAAAAATTCAATTTGAGACCTATCTTACCTGTCACATGTGGGAGACGAAGCAACATGTTGATCCGCATCAGTACTCCAACATCCACACAAGGAACTGATCAGTAGGATTAAAGTTATCATAACAGAATTTGTAAGTACGCCCGCACTTTGAGGCATTTTATTAGTTGTTTTCTCAATAACTTTATGAAGCGAAATAAAAAATAAAATAAAAACGATAAAAACGAAAACTATTTGTGATCGCAATAATAATGATACTTAAAAACAATATTTAAATAAAAAATAACACTATCACAGATCAAGCTTATTTTCCCAGCAAAACGACGACTTGTAATTTTTATAAATTATTATTACTTATCATTATTTTATTTTATAATAAATTAAAATATAAATTTTTGGCCTCGATAAGTTATAGTTAGATTCTTGAAACCAACGGGGATGAAAATGTGTGTGTTTTGTCGAGAGCTTACTTCCTTGTAACAATCTTTGACGCTGCTGCTGATTTGCCACCTAGCGTTCCAGTAGTGTTGACTAGTGTCTTCAGTTTGCTAACGCGCCGGTGACTCAGTGGCTGTATTCGGGTCCTGGAAACAGAGCGGAGAGTTTTACATTGGACGGGTGTATTAAAACAAAATATAATCATGTATACTACTATACACATATGAGTAAAAAAAAATATTATTTAAAAGTAATAATATAAACAGTACTATTGTATATAGTTGGGATATCTTCTCTACGGTATGCTATTTTTTCGTCCGATCGTGACTTGATATGTACACGACGAATTTACTCTATGTATACGATGAACTCATACGTGGTATAAAAATATATGTGTTTATTTATAAATATACACATAAACGCGCGTATGTATTTCAAAAAACAAAAAATAAATTATAAAATTAAATACAATGAAATGACAATATTATCAAAAATTCTCGATATTCGTGCGTCCGTCTGCTGCGGTCGTCCGCGGCCACCGAAACGAGTTGAGAAACAACGTACGCACACGACACCACACTTCGGAAACACGCACAGAAATCACACACAAGCGGAGAATAAAAAAATAAATAACAATAATTTAAATTATTATTATTCAATTTTCAGACACCCGCGCGCACAGGGACACGATCTCGGCGTCGTCGTCGTCGTCGTCGTCGTCGCAGTAATGTGATGTTGCGTAGTGGCTAGTCGTCGCCGTCGTCGTCGTCGTCGTCAACTACTCGACGACACACTCGCAAAAAATATTTTCGTTCGTGTGTGTATGATTTTATTGAATTTTTTTTTTATAATTCGTGTTTCTTGTCTGCGTGTGTGGACCTGTGCTTTTTTTCGGTTGGCGCAGACACTCCACAGAATCGGCACTGACAGCCGAGTCCACCGCCACCGCCGTCGCCGCCGCCGCCGCGCCGTTCTGCCTTGGTTCACTAAATATCCCTACCACCGCCGCCAACGTCGCGAATTATTATTGCCATTGCATAAATTAGAGGGAGATTGTAATCGCGCGCGCACACACGCAAAAACACACGCTCGCGCACGCAACACACTCGACACTCACTCACTCGCACGCACGCGGTACACTTTTCTGCAATGTGCGATTATAATTAAATTATAAATTGTTGTTTATTATATTTTAATACGGTCAGTATAGTATATTGGTCATATTGCCTTGTCAAAAATTACGACTTACCAGCGATGTGCAGATAACATTGATATCATACTAGAAAATGCGAGAGCTGTACGTTACATACGTTAAAATATAATATTATAATATCACAGATTATATAATACATAGGTAGGTATAATATAATAAGAGATACACATATTACACACACGTACAATCGGATCCGAAACGCCACAGACCACGACGATTACTTCGGCGCAACCGGACGACTAACTATTGCAAAGTCGACGGAATCGTATGTGCGGAAAATGTCAAAATTATAAGACTGCTATAAGTTAATAGCCATATTATCTCGATTGCCAAGGCCCTAGATAACCTTTATTCAGTCGATTTACTAATTATTATTCATTTATCTATGTACATTTTATATTTTATTGCCAGCGACAGACTACAATAAACTATTATGATTATTTACTTATTACCAGTCGTCATTTTTTTTCTTTAATATTTATATATTATAATACATAACAGAACATGAACAATAATTTGGATTCTATGTGAACCCCAGTTCCGGAAAAATTTGTAGGTTTTAAAACGTTCAAATTGTATCATAGTAGTGATTATTATAAATTATTTGTGGTATTTTTTTCAGGATAAAAATTGCTACAAAATAGTTTCTCGACCTCATAACAAATGTGAGAGGGTTTCTCAAGACTCTTCAAAACGTCTGTGCAGTATTATGATTGTATCATTAACAATATATTACTCGATTTCACGCTATTAAATGGAAATTCCAACAGAAACCTAATGGATAAGTATTATAGTTAATGGTAATCGTTCGATTTATTAGAAACAGTAAAACCCAGAGTTCGCGATTTCACGAAATCGTGTATTATCCAATATCCATTAATTCAACCTATTTTATTCGAGTAAATCGTAAAATTCTTATATGAAAATAATTTTATTTTATGATACAAGTGGCATACAACACATTTTTACATTGACGTAGGTAAATGAAAATATTTAAATTTAAAAAATTAAAATATAGGTACTTCGATGTTATTACTTTTTTATGTAAGTATCTAAGTTGTAGCCTGCAGATATATTTATTTAAGTAATCCGCCTATTAGTGTCTGTGCATACAAAAACGTTTGAGACACATACCCATGGATAGGATCAGAAGATACTAGAAAATATATCAGTTGCACCATATACACATGATGAAATTCGGTCACGTCTACATATATATATCATCCATATTTATGATTAAATCTAATGAAATTCGCAATACTCAAACCAATAGCCAACAAGTTACACTTAGAATTTGATAATTTGTATTAACTATAAGAACAATGATTTACTCATCAGATTTATTTAGGTAAATAGTATAATAAGTTCCACGAAATCATGAAGTACAATATAATTACAACCAATAAAAATTAGAAAATCTATTTTGCTTTATTCATACGTTGATTAATAATTCCACTTAAAAATTATATTTTCTAAGTTACAATTTATCAATTAGTGTACCGTAAAATATGACATAGCCATGAGTTTCTTACACGCCGTGCATACTTGAAACATATTTTGAGGTTTTTAGAATATGGCCTACAAATAATTGCTTTGAATTAACCTCAGATAAATTAAAAATCAATGGTCCAAGGATAAAATCTAAGAAATTTAAACTGCATTTTCTCCAATTAATAAAAACAATTTTTTTTTTAAGAAACACTAAAATGCATATATTTGACAACTATACCTATCATAATAATTCAGTATGTCTCATTGTTCATTATATTTATTGTGTAAAATTCAATTAATCAGTTCATTTTAACTCAAAGATATACTTCGTAGACTTCTTATACAGGATGCCGGGTGTTTTAAATAATTATTTGGAAAATATTTACATATTAAAACTATTTAACTGAAAACCATTAAATAGAAAATCAACGAAAGAAGTAAATGAAAATAACAAATAATTCGATGTTTATAATAATTAATAACTATTAAGCCTCATATTACATCTGGTAGGTACATCTTATTAGGTTCTTTATAATAAGACTTCCAACTATTTAAACATCAACATCACTGGAAGTACATACTTATATCGGTACATATAATTAATTTTTTTTATTCGGCCGGTGACTTGAAATAAGAGCCACCGATGTTATGTTTTAGTCAAGTTTAGTTGATGAGAATTGTATATACACCTAGCTTAGAAAATATTTAATATTTATGCATTTACGAACTATAAAAGTAATACAAATTATCATACATCCATGTCATTTAAAACATACCTAATGCTTAAAAATCGAATTGGTAATAGTGAAAAACAAAACCGTTAAGACGGAATATCAAAACCAATGATATTTACATCATGTCACATGTCCTATGTTTTTAAATATAACTATTTATATAAATACAAATATATTAAACAAAAAACATACATATATTTTTAAAAGCAATACCAATAGAATTATTTTCCAATGAAAATTTTTAAATATGAATTTTGACTTTTCACTACTAAAATGTTGTGAATGTTTTTATTTTTATTTTGTTAATATTTATTATTGATACATAAAAATGTTAAGAATTATTCGAATTTCATCACTTTATTAATTTTTAACTGTACCGTCGTTTGACCTATAATGTTATGAAAGTTTTTTAGTATTTTACTATACAGTAAAAATATATAAATAGCAATGATAAAAAAAATATTTACTGAGACAAAAAATATGTACTGTTTAATTGTCGATGTATTAGTAGTTATACCTTTATTTCGTTTAACAGACAACGAAAGAAGAACTGTTTTCATAGTGTTTCCCTAAAATGTATATGTTATACCTGTGAACAGTATAATTAATAATCATGTGATAATAACCTTTTTTTTCCAATACAATTTGGCAAAAAAGATTTGGTAATAATTATAATTACGATGTTACCATAGATACTTACTTTTATTAATAAATATTGTGCCGTGTAATTTATTTGTTGCATTTGGTGGAAACAGTGTAAATTAAAATAAGTTAATTAGTATAATAATAATAATTTGTTGATAATTAAGGTTAATTTTTGGTCACTTCAGATTTAAATTATACTTCGAGCTATTTAATAAATAAATATCATAACAAAAATGATGCAAAAAAATGTACAATGATTTAATCTCGCTGTATTATTCGAATTTGTAAATTAAGCATACGTATAATTTCAAAACACGAGATTAAAAAAACATGAGTATTTAACCAACTAGACCTTGATATTTTTGCAGTCTTAGAGGCCTAAAGGAAATATTACCAAGGCTAATAGAAAATAATAAAAGCAATTTCGTTTACCGTAGAGTAATATACATATAAATAATTTTAAATCCGAAAGCATAAATTAAGAGTGACGTCACTTTCGGTACAACTCATAAAAACCAGGTTAGATTCTTAGGTACCTATAGTAAACATACATTATTTATAATAAAATATTTCGTGTAAGTTAATTTTAAAACATACATGTTAACTCGGTAAATTAGAATCAAATTAGATTTATCAACATAATTGTACCGAGTAAATATACCAGAAAAAATGTACCTTAAAAACAGTTTACACTTTTTAACAATGCGATTTGTATAAGAGAAACTATTGATTACGATTTTACAGTAATCTAGTATATAAATAAAATGTAATAGTATAGGTGCTAGGCAATAAAAAAAAATATATAATTTTATATTACACAAAGAAATATTTTTTCTAAAAGATGATTTATTATTCAGGATGATCAAAATAAAACCATATCACAAAACTTAAATGGCAAGACTCATTAAAAATTATTTAATTATTTAATTTGAAAAAAATCATCTAGCAAATTACTTGATAAATTCAATGTTACAAAACTTGTATTATTTACTCATGTAATTTTTGTAATTTTAGTTAAAAACGAATCGTGACTTAATAATTGAAATAATTAAGTAATTATTAAAACTGAGTAAATAAATTACTATTATTATATAGTCAGTTCAGATAAGAAACATAAAATGCAATAAATATTATTGGTATTTTTGATTATTTAAAGATTAAGTTGATTTTAATGCTCGTGTTCATGTACGATTAAAAAAATAGAAATAATAATAAATCTGTTTTTATTCTAATATTCAATCACACTTTTCTATGTCTTATACTCTTATATTATACAATACCTACCTATTTCTTATTGTTAGAAATCACACATTATAAAAAATAACAATTAATATAATAAATTACTGTATGGCTGATCCATTGAATACACAATATTTAAAAAGACATATTGAATAGTGGAATTCGTTGTTGATCTACTAAGAAATTGTATTTATTAGAGATAATATTATAGTATAATTGTACACAAATAATTAAAGAACATGACTTTAAAATCAATTTAACTTTAGTGTTTTACATTAAATATATTAACAACTAATTAAGTTGTAGGATTTATATTGTTTCGATTTATTTTATTATTTATTTAAAACAAACCAAGATTGGCATTATAGTTGTATATACATTAAACATATTATGTAAAGCTATTAAAAAACAGGTATGTTATAACCTGTTGGTTGTTTGTACTTATGAATATAAAAAATACTTAAAAGTATATTGAGTTTATATAAATTACGTATAAAACGCAAATGTGGGATATTTTTTACGTTTAATTTACCAGTTATTATTTAATTTATAACAATAATTTTAATTTATAATAACTAAAAATAAATCAATATCGTCAAATACTCAATAA